ATCCATCCATTATTTTTACCCACTTTTTCCTTTCTGGGTCACGGGGGTCACTGGTGTCCATATCCAGCAGTCACTGTGAAAGATGGAGGACACCTTGGACAGGTCTCCAGTCCGTCACAGGGACACCTTGGACAGGTCTCCAGTCCGTCACATGGACACCTGGACAGGTCTCCAGTCCGTCACAGGGACATCTGGACAGGTCTCCAGTCCGTCACAGGGACACCTTGGACAGGTCTCCAGTCCGTCACAGGGACATCTTGGACAGGTCTCCAGTCTGTCACAGGGACACCTGGACAGGTCTCCAGTCCGTCACAGGGACATCTGGACAGGTCTCCAGTCCGTCACAGGGACACCTTGGACAGGTCTCCAGTCCGTCACAGGGACACCTTGGACAGGTCTCCAGTCTGTCACAGGGACACATGGAGACAAATGAGACAAACAACCATTCACTCTCTCACTCATCTAGGGACAATTTAGAGTTACCAATCAGCCTAACATGCGTGTTTTTAGTCTGTGGGAAGAAACTGGAGTACCTGGAGAAAACCCACACAGCACAGAGAGAACATGCAAACTCCACCCAGGGTCCCGGCTGGGATTCAATCCTGTGACCTTCTCACTGAGCGGCAACAGCTCTACCAACTTCACTACCGTGCCACAGAGTTATAAATACTGTTCTTTTTCATCTTCTTCTTTTTCTTCTTCTTCTTGTTCTTCTTAGAACCACAATACAACAAGCTCCTCATGTAAATATTTTATTTTAAGCCTATCCTGATCTCCTTTTTTAACACTGTTGTGTTAACTTATTGTGTAAATAAAGTTTTGTTAAAAATTTTTTTTTAATTGTTCTTCTTGTACTTGTTATTTTTTCTTGTTCTTCTTGATGTTTTTGTTTTTCATTTTCGTTGTTCTTGTTCTTATTTTTCTTGTTCTTGTTCTTCATGTTCTTGTTCTTCAACCGGCTTTTCCCTCTATAAATGCTATTCTTATTTATTGATATTTGTAGTATAGAGAACATGAAGACCATGCTTGGAGTGACATCATCTCCAGTTACATTAGACAACCAGAACAACGTCCAAACGACCAGAACCTCTTTGTGGACGGACTGCTCCAAAACACGTCTGAGAACTTTGCTGTGGCTTTTTAAATTTTCAATTTTTTGCGAGCCTGTTTTTATTCCATTGAGCTCAATGTGGGATCTGACCTTGCATGAAACTGTGTCTAGTCCAGACTGATCGGTGTAAACTCCGTCCAGTTTGTGTAAAAGCGTGGACTAGTTTTGTCCCTGGACTGACCAATGGTGGCACAGTTCAAACTGGTATAACCACCACCAGCACGCGGTGCAGACCGAACCTGACCAGCTGCTCTCTGGTTGAGGCCTTCGG